CAGCTTTGGGTCGAGGAGCACTCCCAAGCTGCGAACCCTGTCCCTAAAAGGGAGTGCAACCCCGTTCAGGACAAGGTCCAGGTCCCCCAACCCGAAGCCAGACCCACCTACCAACAGGACCTCCGTCTTGTCTGGATTGAGCCTCAGTTTATTGGCCCTCATCCAGCCCATTACCACAGCCAGGCACCGGTTCAGTACAGCCACCACCTCACCTGGATTAGTTGAGAACAAGAGGTAGAACTGGGTATCATCAGCATACTGATGATTCCATAGCCTACACCTCCTGATGACCTCTCCCAGCGGTTTCATGTAGATGTTGAATAGCAAGGGGGACAAAATGGACCCTTGCGGAACTCCATGGCATAGCTGCCATGGCGCAGAGCCATAGTCCCCCAGCACTACCTTCTGGAATTGGCAATTGAGATAGGAGCGGAACCACTGCAAAGCAGAGCCTCCAACTCCCAATCCCACAAGCCTATCCAGAAGGATACCATGGTTGATGGTATCGAAAGCCGCTGAGAGGTCCAGGAGAACCAACAGGGATACACTCCCCCTGTCCTTCTCCCTGCACAGGTCATCGTACAGGGTGACCAAGGCAGATTCAGTACCGTACCTGGGTCTGAAGCGGAACTGAAATGGGTCCAGATAATCAGTTTCATCCAAGAGTGCTTGGATTTGTCTCACCACCACCTGCTCTAACACCTTGCCCAAGAACGGGATATTGGCCACCGGTCTGTAATTGGCGGCCACCTCTGGATCCATGGATGCCTTCTTTAGGACTGGCCGGACTACTGCCTCCTTTAAAGGGGCAGGTACCTGGCCGTCCCTCAGAGAGGCATTGACGACCTCCAGGATCCAGGTCGCAATCCCGTCCATGGCTGTCTTGAGAAGCCAAGATGGACAAGGGTCCAATAAGCAGGTGATAGGACGTACCTGTCCAAGCACCTTGTCCACATCATCAGGCCGCAGCAACTGAAACTCATCCATCAATTGTGTACCAGACGGTAGCATTGGCACCTCCCCCGTAGAATCTGATTCAATAGTAGAGTCCAGCTTGTGATGAATCTGAGTGATTTTCTCCTGGAAATGCTTGGCGAAGTTGTCACAGTGGGCTTTCAAGGGTGGCACGAGATCTTTCTTTCGGCCCAGATGTAACAGCCCCTGTACCACCCGAAAGAGCTTCACCGGACGGCATTGTGAGGAGGCAATGGAAGCGGAGAAGAATTTCTTCTTCGCCGTCCTCACCGCCACAGCATAGGCCCGATAATGGGCTCTCAAGTGTGTTTGGTCAGCTTCATCCCATGATTTCCTCCACCTACACTCTAGACGTCTCCCAACCCGCTTCATCACCTGTAATTCAGGTGTATACCAAGGGGATGAATGGGCTCTGCCAGGTGGAAGAGGACGCTTGGGAGCGATTGTGTCAATAGCCCTGGTCATTTCCCCATTCCATAGTTCGACCAGAGCTTTGACAGGAGCACCAGCCTTATCAACCGGGAAATTCCCCAGGGCCTTCAGGAATCCATCCGGATCCATCCGGCTCCGGGGGTGGACCAGCACAATCGGGTTCACATCCTTACAGAGGGAAAGGCTGCTCTCGAGCTCAAACCTCACGAGGAAGTGATCTGACCATGACAGGAGAGTCAGACACAAGTTCCTCACCCTCAGATCACCCTCCTCCTGCCCCGTCGAGAAAACCAGGTCCAGAATGTGTCCACATTCATGGGTTGAGACAGCCCCATGGTTGCCATGGAGGCCATGAAGTCCTGAGCCGCCCCAGTCAGAACCGTCTCGGCATGGAGATTGAATTCCCCCAGGACCAACATCCTGGGAGTCTTCAACACCAAATCCGGGACAATATCTGTCAGCTCAGGCAGGGAGTCTGCTGGGCAGAAGGGTGCACGGTACACCAACAGAATCCCCAATCTGTCTCGGTCACCCAATGCCAAGTAGAGACACTCTAGACCTGGCCTCGAGGGGACAGGAAGCCCCGTGAGGGAAAAAGAAGCTCGATAAACCAGTGACCCCCCTCCAGGTGTGGGCGGTGCTGAACCAGATACCCGGGTGGGCACAGTTGAGAGAGGGAGACATCCCCCCCCTCACCCGGCCAGGTCTCTGTAATGCAAGCCAGGTCGGCCCTCTCATCCACAATCAAGTCATGGAAGAGGGAAGATTTATTGTGGACCGACCTGGCATTAAGCAGCAGCACCAACAGGCCCGGGGGGCGGTTGACAGGACTACCTGGAACCCTCAGGCTGGGGGAGTAACCAGAAGGAGGAACAGGTGCTAGCCATCTGTCTCTCCTTCTTCTATGTGGACTCGTTAGACCCCCAACGCTGTAACGTCCGTTGCCCATAACCACCCCAATGGCAGCGCCCATGGGCTCCCCAGGCAATCCCATCTTCGTGGCCAAGAATAACTCCATTAAAATATAAGCTAAAACACATTAAAAACACCTAAAAACACTTAACCCCCCCTTCAACCATGGCAGGTCTTCTCTGTGGAGAGTGACTGGGTGTGAGGCAGCAGGCAAGCATATGTGAATTGTCCCAAGCCTCTGATTCCAAATGCTGCATAGATCTGCACTGGGAAACAGTGGTCAGCATTGCTTTCTGGAACGTGCCTAGACAGAGAAGTGCATCAGCTCTTAGGCATGGAACGTCATACAGAGAATGCTCAGCAGAATCTCTCCTGTTGCTTTCAGCATTGGTGGCCAACAGTCTCTGGCTGCCAGGTGCTGGGGGACATGAGTGGGAGGCGGTTTCGTGTCCTACCAGTGGGCTTCCCTCTGGGCATCTGTTTGGCTCAGGTGTGGACAGGATGCTGGAGTAGATACCTCTGGTTGGACAGCAAGATGACTCTTACACTTCTAGTATGATAGACATGTCAGTCTGTTCTACAAGAAAGGATTTACAAACCCAAAGACTCTATGGAAGCTCTTTCCATACGACACAAAGAAGGGTGCAGTCCTACACATGTTTACACAGAAAAAGGTCCTACATCTCCCAAGGGGCTGGTAAGAGCTGTAGTCCTTCTTTCTGGCTAAATATGCAAAGAATTGCATGTTCAGTCACTGATATGCTAAACAAGTCTTGTGGTGTTGTTCTATTAGAGTAATTGGCAAGATGGCAGTTTGTATTTAAGACCTAGAATGTCTTTGTTGCTGGTAGGTTTTTAGTGGGTTTTCTTGGTGGTAGGGGGCGGGGGGGAGTTAAGGTTAGTTGTAGGCTGAGAGAAAGCTTCACCATTGCTCACAGTATGTTGTTCACCAGATGCATTTTCTATTCTAGTAAGTAAGTATTGCAGGCTTTTTAAAACTTGCCAAATCTGTTTTGCTTCAACGAGAGGCAATAGTGGGAGAAAATGAATGTGCCCACACCACGTGAAGTGATACCTTTCTCAGGTAATGTACAAGTTGCTTAAAACTATTATTTGCCTCTAGCCTTAGCTTGTGTAGCCAGATACAGTGAGTCGGTGCGCGCGCGCGTGCGTGTGGACAAGCAGGCACTCATGACTAAGCGCACCTGACATTTCAAGTGACAAACTCGCTGTAAGCAATGTTTTTCTTACAATATTGTCTAGACGTGAGGAACCCTGGCAAGGAAAATGAGCACCTCTGTCAGGAGGTACTACGTTTTCTAGGACTTTAAACACACACATACACAGACACCTAATGCTCAACATGCCTGGGATGAAGGGCAGGTTGTTCCTGATGTTTCTGGGACACATTCCAGGAAAAAAAATAGATGGAGTGGCTGAACCATGCTAAAAAGATAGCAAGACTCTTGTATTATCAAAAAATCACCCAGGCATCCATGAACAATTACGTTCACCTTTTCCTCTTCAAGCACTTCATTGCCACAGAGCTGTCAGGAGGGGAGATATTGTCAGAAAGATGAGGTAATGATAGCAATCTATGTTTGTGAAGAATCTAGCTTTGGTGGTATGTATTTTTTTTCCTTTTTGTCCTCTCACCTTGAAGAAAACCTTGTCCAATGCCCCGATCCTCCTCAGAGGGGCAATAAGGAAGCAGGATGCTCTGACATCAGGAGGCAGTGGATCAACTTTCATGGATCTGGAGCTTCTAGATACCTTGGACTACAGTTCTATCAGCCCTGAATCGCATGGTCAATGGTCAGGAATATGGTGGGAGTGTCACCTGCCCCATCTAAATTGGGAGAAGCTGCAGCTCTCCCTCTTTCCCCTCTTAGCCTGCTTGAATTTTTGAAATTCATCATAGCAAGCTGGGCCATGCAGCAGATTTCATGGATTCCTGTCACTAGGTAGGCAGTTAGCTAGTGAGAAATGTAAAGTCTTTATCTATGCACTGAAGGAATGCTGATTGTGTTGATGTATTTTTGCAACTTGGAAGGTCATGTTCAGCTGCTCGGGTCAGCTTATTTCGATCTTCCTATTTTCTTAAAGTGACAGATTCAAAGTGGAGGCTAACAATCGATCGCAGAGTGGATTGCGTTACATGGTTTGGTGAAGCTATGGCTTCAAGAATATCCACTGACCCCTAAGCTAGCAGTGAATGTGTTTTATGACCCATGAGATCATTGATCTGGGAGGTGGGAGGGTGGGGGAAGATGCATTCTACTGTAAGAAGCACTTCAAACATTGGAATGAAGGTATTATATGCTGCCTGTTAGTCTGCTTGACAGACATCAGTCCGTTACATTTGAAAACCAAATACAAACTCAACAGAAGATCAGGTATGCCTCGTGTTGGAAGGGAAGAAATATGGTCTGGAGAAGAAGCCTAATCCCTAGCAACAGAAAAAATTATTTGCTTTTTAAAAGGTAATTCCAATTCTAAGGGATGGGATCTTTATTCTGATTCATCATCCAGATTTTGTCCTGGTTTGAAATCGACAGAGTTTAGGGAAGCCCTGACCATCTTAAGTCTCACTGAATGGCCTCTGTCACTGTGGCTGTTGCCTGCCTCACTTGCTCCTCCCGGTGCAGATTGGGGACTGGCATGGCTGTGGGTCGGGCGAGATGGGCATGTGCATGGAGACTGTCACCCGCAGGAATGGAAGGACCTTTCCTAAGCATGGGCAGACCTGCTTGGTGCATTATGTGGGTATGCTGGAAGATGGGGAAAAGTTTTATTCCTCTTGTGACAAGAACAAGCCGTTCAAATCTGGGATGGGCAAGCAGGAGGTTCTCTGTGGCTGGGAAGTGGGGGCAGCCCAGATGAGTGTTGGCCAGCAGGCCAAGGTGATGATCCCACCAGACTATGGCTATGGCTCCACTGGGCACCCAGGAATCACCCTGTCCAACACCACTCTAACTAACCCTTGACATGGAGCTTATCAAATTGAAATGGCAAGAGAGGGATGTCTTTCTATTTCCCTCCTCTGGAATTTGGTACATGGAGAAATCCAGAAAACGTTCCTTCAAGATGAATGCACATGAATTTGTACGGCCCTTTCCCAGCTGTCCATGACACCATCCACCCGGATCTGAATGTTCTGGGTCACTTGGCTCTGCTTCTGACTCTCCTTCTTGGTTTTCCTCTGATTTTTGACATTTTCAGGGTCATGCTGTAGCCCTCAGCTGTCATGTGTTGGTTTTTGGTCAGGTTCTTTAATCTTATTTTTGTTGGGGGGTGATACAAATTAAGTTGCGTATGATGGGGCATTATTAGTAAGTATACTGATTGCTTCACATTATATAGGAATAATTGCTTGAAGGCAAACATTTTTGTTTTGTTTTGGAAGGATGTATTGTATCAATTCCCAGCTGCAAAGCCATACAAAGCAGTTTAAGGTGCTGTTGAGGGCTGGACAGCTGTGTGGTCATAGGAATTGATAAGGTTATCTGCCTGAAACTTGGGGCCACCAGGGACTTCTCATGCCCTCCTTGCTACCCTTTTGGGGAAGGGTGGCAAGCTATGTCATTTTTCAGTGACATAGCACTCACCTTGTTACTCTGGGGCCGTTCTGGTTCCAAGTCATTGATTCTTCCCCCCCTGCCACTATTGTGGTATACGGCATTTTCTACTTGAGGATATTTGTAAACTTGAGCAGTCTGAATTTTACAGTTCTAGCTGAACACAAGAACTTTGAAGGTACTGTTTGGCATGGGGTGGAGGGATGAATCCATGCTGGCCTCCCAGCCACCCGTGTGGACAGAGAGAGTCCTTGACCAAGATAGGATGCTGGTCGGGGGCCTCTGCGCCAGCCCCCCTCCTTCCTGTGTTCAGGTAAGAGCATTGCTGCTGCCACTTCCTCCAGCAAAAGCATCACATAACCATAGAGGAAGAGTTTATTGTTGTTGTTGTTGTTGTCCCACTGATTTCAGTTGACCTGTTCTAAGCATGGCCAGCACCCTGTTATTCCTGTCTCGATGCTTCGGTATGCTTTGATCCTACCTTTTAGAAGTATTTCCCTGTCCTGCTATAGATACCATCCCATTAATACAGCCGTGCATTGGTTCTTCATGGGTTCTTCTAGACATAACTTATTTTCCTTCCTGATTTCTCATTTTGTGCAGCAATGCTTGAGCAACATTTATTAATGCCCCTGACATTGCCATATATACCTCATTATAACTAACACTCTCCCTTCTGCACTTCAACGCTTGGAAGGGATTGTCTAGCTTAGAAAAGAGGGAGGGAGGCATTTGTATACTTCCGTCTCCGTCGTAAACATCAATCGTGGGGGGGCAGTGAGGCAGGGAAGAATCTGCATAAGGAAGAGCCCCCAGTTCTCATTATTCATGTGGAACCCAGTTCCTGCCTGCACTTCATCACGCACCGTGACTTCCCTGAGTGAGCTAAGGAGAGCCCCCCAGAAAGGAAATCTAACCTTAGCTAGCATCTTTTTGTTCCTCCCTGTGTCCACTTATGAATAGCAGCAGCTGAAGAGCCTTCAGAGCCCAGTCTTTGTGTCATGTGATCCCATCCATGCAGGGAAAAACTATGGGATTATTTCTACAGACAGGGGTGGTTCTCGCTAGTGATGGATGCTGTCATCATCTGCATTCGCCAGCCGATGTTCAAATCTGGCTTCATAAACAGGGGCAAAAACTCTTCAGAATTGAATCTAACTGTGAAGTCTTGTGCATGTGGCTGGCCAAACTGCTTCCTGGGAAGCTGGCATGTCCAGCATCACGTTCTTTTTCCATTCAGTGGATGGGGACATCAGTTGTCACGAAGTATTATTCTGTGACTGGCTGTTTCCACGCTGCTGTGTGTTCCGTGTCGCCTGCTCATTGGAGGCCGTGGCTGTGGAAGGGGAGCAAACACGGGTGGCACATGACGGGTGCCTCCTTCCCCCACCTGAGCCATGACTGTCATCAAGGAAAGGACAGAGTTCCGTATCACCATCTACCCAACTTGTTCCCACCATTCAACCAGAAGGCCCTGCCTGCAAGTGGAAAATACAAAAAATGGGTTACTCAGGGTGCCTCTCTGTATGCGGTGAGAAACCAAAGGAGATCAAATATCCCACTTCCCACCCCCTCTGCAGCACCACTTGGCCTTGTGGCTCATTCATGAGTGGGATCTGCACTTTGAATGGACGGCTGGACACAGAGAAAATATTGACTTTCACTCGAGCGAAAACTTATGCACCATCCATCCATCCATCCACCCACATGAGACTCTTAATCTACTGCTTCTACTTTCAATTATGTTGCAGGACTGAGATCAGAATAGTACATGTAGAGCATGTCTGTTCCTGCTTTCTGCTTCATGACCTCTAGGTGGCACTGTGGTATAGCAAAATAGGGCAAATATATGAGAGGAAATCCCACTGTATTATGCTTTCAGGATTAAATATTGCATTAATCTCTGCTCTAAGAAAAATGTACTGAAAGTGCTTGCTAGACACAGCAGTGAAACTGCAGAATCACAATGTCATTTAAAGAATCTGTAAATGACTGTGAGTAGCAAATAACAGTTGGACAACTAATACCTTGTGCAGAAAAACCCTAATAAGAAAAATGGCAGCCACAAATCAGCTAGCTGGAGGAGAAATGAATGCTCAGACACAGGTTAGGGAGAAATTCCAAACAATGGGAGGCTAGTTACAAATCAAGAAGGCTAATTTATGTTTTTGTTTTGAATTCTTCCAAAGTGATTGGCTGTTTATTGTTTCAGCTCCGGACTTCTACAGTTATTAATTTCTTTTTGCCAAAATAAAACCACGCTGCATATATGCATTGCAAGTGGAAGGGGTTTTAAAGCAGTTTCCTTACATATCTAAGAGTGCTGTCCTTAGTTACTGAAGGTGGGATAGAAATCTAATTAATAAATAAGGGCCGTGTTAGATGCCATTGCCAATACGTGTACTGCCTCTTTGTCTTTCAAGCAAGCGAGTGGCAGCAGTGAGGAGAGAGAGAATCAGCTGATCATAGCTGTGAGACTCACTGAGGAATGAGACCCATTCGGGGTGTCCTGCCCAAGGGGCGAACCCTCAAAAAATCTGGAACTGGCACTGTATATTTCGGCAGCCCTTCTTCACAAAAAGCCTCCCTTGATTTTCCCAAGCATCATCTTGACAGCATACTTCTGAGGGGAAGGGAGATAGGCATGATGCAGCTATTAAACAATTTCAAGTCATAAATTCTTGGTGAGGTGATCTACTGCAAATCACCCAGAGATCTCCCAGTAGATCTAGATCTGCCTCAGTGTGTATGTGTGACACAGGGATAGAATTTTTATGACTTCCACATCAGCCATGGTTAAACACTACATTAAAGCTTTCTTTCAAATAACTACTTGCCTTCCATTAGCAAGAAGAGGCATGAGAAAGGCAAAGTGACATGACACCCACTTGAAAAAGCACACTCATTTTTGAAATAAAGTAAGCATCACCTTTGAACCACTATCTGGTTTAGCTTTTACAGCTGGAGAAAATGTATTATGCTAGCAGTATATTATAATTGCTGGATAGCATTCTCCTCCCTCAAAAAGTGTTGTTGGAATATATGACAATGCCAGCTTTACTCTAAGTGACTTTCTTCACTTGTGGGAGTTATCTGCACATAAAACTAAATCAAATACTAAAGTATAGATCAGGGTGCAGAAAATCAGGTTCTTGGGCCATTTGGGTTGCAAACAAAGGACATCTGGGCTTTGTGTACAATTCTGCATACGCAACGGCACCATTGCATAATAGAAGCGCCACCTGGAAGCACCCACAAGTTTAGGAAATCTATATGTGTTCAATTACTATTTGGGGTACACTGCTTGGAAATGAAGGAGAGCTAGATGTTGCTGTCTAGCTAACAAATAATATGCATAACAATTAGGATTAATTAAGATTTGTCCTTTTCAGAGCCACTCCCCTTCAAATAGAATTTGGCATTCTAACTAGTCAAGCAGACTTGGGGTCATCACTCTGTTTGTGAATGAAATATTTGACATATGGTCAAGATAAGAGTTCTGATGCTGGATTTTACTCAGGGCTTGTTTGTTTGCTGCATCCCACCTTTTAATTTTCAAGGAATACAAGAAGGCTTGCATAATTCTCCTTCTTTTCTCAATCTTATCTTTATAACAACAATCTGTGAGGTAGGTTGGGCTTTCTGCATCAAGTCTTTTTGTGACATTTTACTCTCATTTTAATTTCATTTCAATGTACCCCCTGTCCAGATATCAATCGCTCTGTATGCCAAGTATGTTCTCTTTGGGCTGTAGGTTTCCTTTTCAGGGTAAAAGCGGGATGGAGGTATGCCCTGCCACTGATATGGCATGATCAAAAGGCAGCAAGGGGGGAAATCTCCTAAAAATATCCAGGAGTAGTATGACGTTGGCTCTTCCCTTCTGTCCCAACAAATTGGCAAGATCCGTGCAAGGGTATAATTGGGAAAGATCAATGGCTTAGTGGCAGAGACCTTTCCTTATGTAGAAGGTTCCAGGTTTGATTCCATTAATTCTCTAAGATGATAGATAGTGGTTCTGAGAGTTCCCTGGAGATTTGAACTCATTTAGTCCAATTAGAAGATCCTTAACCATTCTTCCATCAATCTCGGGCTGCCATTCTGCCTCTTCAGCTTGTATTAAACCTTTGTCAAAAAGGTTGTAGTTCTTCTTTTGGGAGAAGACACTTCTGCCTTTTCTTTGTCATCTGTTATCATTGTTCCTTCTACAGTGAGTAGTTGAACTTGCTTCTCTTTGTCTTTTGCTTTGGATGCATTTGAAGAAGGCTTTTTTGTTGTTTTTAGCTCCTCTTGCTATCCTCAGTTCATTCATTGCTTTAGCCTTCCTGACGTCATCCTTGCAGTCCCTTGCTGCTGCTCTTTCTCTGAAGCCTAGCCTTCCTTCCACCTCCTACATATGTCCTTTTTTGTTT